AGAGAGAGGGGTCAGAGCGGGCGACACATCTGACCCGACATTAGACAGACAGAGAGAGAGACGGGTCAGAGCGGGCGACTCATCTAACCCGACATCAGACAGACAGAGAGAGAGAGAGACGGGTCAGAGCGGGCGACTCATCTAACCCGACATCAGACAGACAGACAGGTACTGACCCGCAGGAAGGAGTCCAGTGCCCCGTTCTCCATGTACTCGGTCAGAATCATCACGGGACAGGAAGCTGTGATCACTCCCTCCAGGTGAATGATGTTGGGATGCTGGAACTGACCCATGATTGACGCCTCGGACAGGAAGTCCTGCCTCTGCTTGTCTGTGTAGCCGCCCTTCAGGGTCTTAATGGCCACGTAGTTCTCTTTCTTCCCGGGAACCTTGAGCCGACCGCGACACACCTCACCGAACTCACCTGCACACACATCACATATGAAGACTATCAGATTCACACACACACAATAGCGTAACGTGAGCAGTGCTTTCATCAGGTATGTGTGGCCCATATTACTGCTGTTGACGCAGAAACACGAGCCCCGCGCCACACCTGTGCTCAACAATCACACACACGGTTCTCACCGGCACCGATCACCTCCTCGATCTTCACAAACGACACGTCGATCTCTTTAGCGAACTCCCTCACCGCCTCGTTCGGATCCTCGTATGTGAACGGATCGATGTACACTTTAACCCCTGTGAGAAACACACAATTAAACCACAACCACAACAAAACATCTGAACAATGTCTGAAACCGTATGAGCTCTTCTCAGGGTTATCTGCCTCTATGATCAATCGCTTGTTGTGTTCCTCATTTCTAAGCTGCTTTGGATGAAGGCATCTCTACTAAAATATACTGAATGTACTAAAATAACTAAAACTGAAATAAAAATGAATTCGCTATTTAGACATATATATATATATATATATATATAAAACAACTTGTTTGTTTAGAATTTAAAGACTCACAACTGATATATTAAAAATAAATCTATTTAAAATATTTTTATTAAGTTTTAGTACTTCAACAAACTAAATGAAACTGCCTTTGCAAACAGCTGAAATAAAAGAAGTTTAAGGATTATTTTATTTTATTTCAGTTAATGTTTCTTTTATTTAAAGCAATAATTTTTTTAATGGTTGTAGGTTTAGTTAACTATAATAACCCTGGTCTGAAGTGGTAAATGGTTTGAATATTAAAAACCTAGAGAGAAACCAACATAGGCTGATTGTAGTGAGTGTGATTGGCTTGGATTTTTGCATGTTTTTAATCAATTTGCTATTTGTCAATCATAATCAATATTTAATTATCTAAAAAATAATATACAAAACGTGGTTATTATTATTTTTATAAGTAAATATAATTTGCTATTATATTACTTGTCATTTGTAAATAATATTTAATAATCAAAAATAATATGTAAACTATTATGTTTTTTTATTTATTATTTTAATTTTATATGTAAATATTATTTACTTTATAGGGCAATTATAAATAATATTTAATTATATAAAATAATATAAAGTATTTTTGCTGTATGTTATTATTTGTATTTATTTTATAAATGTATATTACTTCTTTTATTACTTATTTGTAAATCATATTTTGCTGCATACATGTTCAGACCTTAGAACACTAGTTTTTTGCTACGTGATCGAATACTTAAAAATTACTTTTGTTGATGTAACCTTACGTTGAAGTGAATTTATTAGTGTTAATTCATATTTTTGAGTTTAGTCAAAATAATAATAATACAAACAGGTCATGTACATGTCGCCACATGAAGCACATTTAAAAGAGTCTCAATCCGCAGCAATGCATCAGGCCGTTGCCTGGCAACAGTAAACAACTAAACTCATGTTAACTCTAATAACATGTTTCTCTGGTGGCGTCACGATCGCTCATGTGTCTGCATCACTCTCACATGTAAACAACACAAACCAGCGGTGAGTGCTGACAGATTTACCGCGGTATAACACATTCCTGATCAGAGGACGTCACACTCACCGGAAACACAACATGTGTGTGTGTGTGTGTGTGTGTGTGTGTGTGTGTGTGTGTGTGAGTGTGTGTGTGTGTGAGTGTACCGTCAGGTAGTGTGCTGATGTTGGCGGCGGGGCTGAAGTGTCCGTATCCTGCGGCGGTTCTGGCTCTGACCTGCACCTGGTACTGTGACGCGCGGGTCAGATCGTTCAGAACCACAGAGTTGGTTTTACTGCTGACGTACTGCCATCCATCATCCTGATCCTACAGCACACAGGTCAGAGGTCAGGTACAGGTGAAACACACACACACACAAAGCAGGTGTCGCTGCAGATGTGTGTCCGTCTCACCTTCAGACTGTAGCGCAGCTGATACTCCTGAATGCTGTGCTGCGTCTGCGGAGGAACCGTCCAGCTGATGGAGACGCTGCTCTCAGACGCTTTAATCCTCCTGATGCCGGACACTGGAACGGCCACTGCACACACACACACACACACTTCAGAACTACACTGAACAAAATTATAAACCAACACTTTTGTTTTTGTCCCCATTTTTTATGAGCTGAACTCAAAGATCTAAGACTTTTTCTATTTATCTCGGCAAAGGAGAAGTGCTCACTAACATAGATTTAGACAGATTTGTGAACAATATTTGAGAGAAATAGGCCTTTTGTGTACATAGAAAAAGTCTTAGATCTTTGAGTTCAGCTCATGAAAAATGGGGGCAAAAACAAAAGTGTTGCGTTTATAATTTTGTTCAGTATATAATCATAACTATAATGGTAGCTTTAATGATAACTGTAATGATAAGCAAGGCTGGCCCAAGCATGGAGCTATAACGTTATCTATAACAATAATGATAACTATATCGATAATTATAACAGTGATAACTATAACAATAATGATAACGATAACTATAACTATAACAATAATGATAATTATAACAACAGTGATAACTATAATGATAACTATAACGATAATTATAACAACAGTGATTACTATAACGATAATGATAACCATAACGATAAATGTTAGTGCGAACTTCCCATTAATAGTTAATATGATTACTAAAGCAGTTCTCACTGTAGTTATGTGAAGTTAGAGTGATTAGTAAAGCTGTATGGTGATAGTTATTGTTATGGTTGTTATGAGTGTGTTGACATGTCACCGTGATCCACTGACCGTCTCTGCTGGTGGTGATGTTGACGGAGCTGGAGGCGGGGCTTGTGTGACTGACAGCGCTCACTCCGTTCTGGGCGATGACGGTGAAGGTGTAGGTGGTGTGTGGGAGGAGTCCGCGGATGATGACCCGCCTCCCGGCCATGCCCACCTGCCCCGGCCTGTAGGTGACACTGTCTGCGCACGGGACGCAGGCGGAGCCTCTGCAGCGCACACACTCCACGCTGTAGGACAGATCCGAGCGCCCGCCACGGTCCAGCGGCTCCGACCACTCCAGCGTCACCACCGTATCATTGATCTGATAGACGATGCTGCGCGGAGCCGACGGCAGTCCTGCAGGAACAGGGCAGAGGTCAGAGGTCATATGAGCACCTGCATACGTGTGAGTGTGTGAGTGAGTGAGTGAGTGTGTGTGCGTGTGTGTGTGTGTGTGTTAGTGAGTGTGTGAGTGCGTGTGTGTGCGTGTGTGTTTGTTTGTGTGTCTGTGTGTGTGAGTGTTTGTGTGTCTGCGTGTGTATGAGT